AACCTGCAGAGAGCTGATTCCATGAAAAATCACAGGAGACATGCTGTCCCTGCCAGCACCCCCTGTACCCAACACCACCCTATCACCTAGCCCAAGACCCCCTGCTGAGAGACCCCAAATTTTGTACCTCCCTTGGCAATGCCCCCCTTCCCTACCTAAATTCCCCTATAAAACATGCTCTTGCCCCTTGCTCAGGGGTCTTTTTGCCCTTGGTCTGGCCACATCTGGTCTGCAATAAAGTCCTCACATGTTGCTTAAACTCTCCCTGTCTCAGTGGTCTCAACTGTGCCTTGGTTTACCCTAACATCTGGTGCTGAAACCCAGGAAGGTTAAGATCCCTTCCTAGGAGGGTCCAAACTCCCTCCCTGGACCCCCCACTGGGGCACACTGAGACTGCCTTTGACATCTGCCCTCCGGCCCTTCCTTGCTGGGACTTGTTGCTAGTCTCAGTCTCCTCTTCAGGTCGGCTAAGTGTCATCTACATCCTGTCACTGCTTCCTGCCTCTGTCACTTGTCTCTGCTCTCCTCGCTCTAAGTGACTTTCTGGGCCCAGCCTGAGTCATGCTCCAAAATCCCAGAACTAGTCACACTTGCCCCCGGGAGTCTGACTCCCTGACGGCTGCCTAACTCTAGGGACACCTGGATTGATGACCTGTCCACTCACTTGGCCTCCAGGAACAGATCAGAGAAGTCCCTTCTTTTCCTTGAGTCACCTCCGTTCAGCTGGTGTCTAGAACCACCATGGGCCATTAACCTCCCTCTGTCCCTGCTTCATTCCCCCAGTGTGTGTTCTCAGAAATCTCAAACCTCTCCACCTTACCCTTGACCTGAAGCCAAAACATCTCATCTATTTCTGTAACACAGTATGGATAGCCTACAAACTAGGTAACGGCTCCCAGTGGCCAATCCATGGCATATTTGATTTTTCAATTCTCCAAGACCTTGACAATTATGGTCACTGGCTGGGCAAATGGTCTGAGGTCCCATAAGTTCAGGCATATTTTTTGGCTCTCCGCAGGCTCCCCTCCTTCTGCACCTCCAGTGACACTACTGAACTCCTTCTCATTTTCACACCCCTTAACTGCTCTCTCTCTGTCCCCTCCTGACTACGAACTGGACTTCACTGTCAACCCTTCTTCCCTTGCCCCTCCACCATGTCCTCTTCCACCCACTGCTCTACCTCCTCTGATCAGGGCTCCTCCCAACCAGCACCGGCACAAGATTGTTTGCTCTGCCTCTCTGCATCCACCCCCCACAAAGAGGGAACACCTGTCCCACTTACAAGCTGGTCCCACACAGAGTCCTCCTGGCACCCCATCTATGATGTAAAAAACCCTGCCAGGAAATGCTACAAATGCTGAGGTGCTCTCTGTCTCCATTCCAGTCACTTCTCAACACTGATTTATCCTAGGACCCATAGCCTCTGATGTTAAGCTTTCCTCCAGGCCATGCTCTGCATGTCTCCTACAGGCTCTCCAGGAATCCCCCTGGGAAACTTGCCCCCTTTTAGCTGCAACTTCACACTTACTCTATGCATGCCCTGTGATCACTCCAGCTACAACACCCCTCCTGGATCTCACTCTTCCCCATTGCTCATTATACAGCAGGACTCCCAACTGTGGACACGTCTTAACTTCTTAACAAATAGTCACACTTTTGCAGCAGCTGCCAGCTCCCATATATTACAATTGGAATGTGGTCCCCAGCAGCAGTATTGGAAACCATAGAAAAGACTCGACCAAATTGAGCATCTACCCTAGCTACCTGCCTTCTCCAACTCAACCTACAAAATTCTCCTGAATGGATACTGATAGACATCAAGAGGTTCCTTTTACATTGGGAAAACAAGACCAAAGGTGCGACCCGGAAGACTCATCCAGGCCGTGCCCTTATTTTTACAGGAGCAGCCCTAGCTATCATTATAGGCACCTGGGAAAAAGACCCCAAAGGACCAACCCCCAACACCTCCTAGACATACATAACCATTTATGCTTAAATACTACAGGGCTATTTTGGCTCTGCAGAACTTTTCCTTACCTTTGCCTTCCTGCCAACTGGACTAGGAATCTATACTTGGTATTTCTCCCAAAAATATAGTCCCCAGACAAAACAAACTCCTGGACCCTGTGCGGACCCCTCTCAGATGATGCCCACAAGCTTTAATGCCTATACGCCTACTAGTAGGCCTTGGAATCTCTGCGGGAATGGGAATGGGAGTTGCAGGGGTAGCTGCCTCCACCACAGCCTGTGAGCAGCTCTCAGAAGAAATGCCTGAGGGATTCAGAAAGATTTCCAATTCCATCCTAGCCTTACAAAAGGAAGTAGATTCCCTGGCTAGCGTGGCCCTCCAGAACCACCAAGCTCTGCATCTACTAAACACAGAAAAACGAGACACCTGCATCTTCCTTGGAGAGGAATGATGCTTCTAGGTCAGTAGATCTGGTTTTATCCATCTGACAGTCCAGAGTCTCTGGGACCAGGCCATCAGGCTCAAAGAACAGGCAAGGGGGGGCTTCATTATGGATTGGGGAGGAGGCTTCTTCCAAACCAGCTGGACATCCTGGCTTCTCCCCATACTCAAGTCTTGGTCCCCGTCTTTCTGCTGTTATTGTTTCAACCTTGTATAATAAAACTCTTAACAGACTTCATCCAAGGACAGATCTGATCCATAATATCCAGACAGCTCCTCCTGATGGACCATTACATGGCTGTCCCATGGGAATCCCAAGCTAACCCACTGCAATAACCAAAGAACATCATGCTCCTAGCACTCTGTCACCTTGCCCGGATCTGGTACTCTGTCATGTTGCTATCAGCCCAGCCACTCTCCCTCTTCATTTTTTTCTGTCTCTCTTTGCTAGGATGCTCTTGTAGCCCCTCAGTCACACCTGAAGAAGTCCTGAGAAACTACACTCCTTACCCACCTTCTTTTTCTATAACACAACAGAGAGGAATGTCAGGTCTCTGAACTAGACCCCTGCTCAGCCAGGAGAGAAAAACTGAAGCAGATCTGTTATTCACACCTGCAGGAGCGCAGCTTTCAACAGGAAGACAGCAGCTTCCCCATGCAGCTTAACCAGCTAGCAGCTGCCCCCCACACCTCAACCAGCAGAGAGCCGATTCCATGAAAAACCACAGGAGACATGCTGTGCCTGCCAGCACCCCCATACCCAATACCGTGCTATTACTTAGCCCTAGACCCCCTACTGAGAGACCCAGAATTTTGTAACCCCCTTGGCAACGCCTCTCTTCCCTACCTAAACTCCCCTAAAAAACACGCTCTCGCCCCTTGTTCGGGGCCAATAGTCTTTTCCCCCTTGGCCCAGCCACATCTGGTCTGCAATAAAGTCCTTGCACATTGCTTAAACTCTGCCTGTCTCAGTGGTCTCAACTGTGCCTCAGTTTACCCTAACACTGGGGTATAAATTTAACTTAACAGCATGGAAGAAACAGGGTTAGATGCTCTTAAATACTGTCCAGCTCACACATGTGCATGTTATTTCAAGTATTTCCCCATAGAAGATATATACCCTTTTGTTTTATCTATCTTTTTGTTTTGTTTATATGGAAGTTATCTTGAATTCTACTAATGAACTCTACAGAGTAATGTGATCTGAAATCAGTAAGAAAATATTTTCGTGTTTATTTTGACCTTTAATTTTATAAGTAAATAGGCCAGGTGTGGTGGTACATGCCTCTAATCCCAGCACTGGGGAGGCTGAGGCAGGAGGATCACTGTGAGTTCGAGGCCATCCTGGGCTACACAGTGAGTTCAAGGCCAGCCTGAACTGCATAGTGAAGTCCTGTCTTCAAAAAAAAGGAAAAAAAATTTATAAGAAAGTAACAATCTGCTTCCAATATTCTTTTTTTGAGGCAGGGTCTCACTATGTAGTTTAGATTGGCTTTGAACTCACAATGTAGCTGAGGCTGGCCTTGAACTCATTAATCCTCCTGCCTCAGCCTCCCATGAGAGCTGGGATTACAGTTGTGTACCACCACGCCTGGCTGAAAACTATACTCTGTGTTTATTTTATATGATTACATTTAGTGGGAGAAATTTTATCCTCAAAAACTGTTTCATTGAATTCTGGAAACTTAATTGCCCCCCTATTAATTTCCTTTTGGTGATTCTCTAAGGTGGGTCTCTTATAACTCATGCTGTATACAATACATGACTCCGATTTAAAAACAGCAAGACAATGCTCAAACCAAAGTTTGGGGACTGGGTTCCTTTGCAAATATAGCATGGCTAGAGCTAGGAACAATCTTCTTTGCGGAGTCCACAAAGAGGTAGTGGGAAGGGTGGGCGTACTGGGGTCACTAATAAGGTGGGTCAATACCAGAATACAACTGGAACATTGCCTGGAACTGCTTGTTCCTTAAGGAAAGGCCAAAGAAGGTTTCTCGGCTGTTCTTACAGTCTACATAGTCATTGGCAACCTGAAGTGAGGGACTTGATGAATTTAGTGATTGTTTAAGTCACTGAAAATTCACTGCTGTATGAATGGCCTTGTGACTGCCAGCTTGCCAACTATCCTTGTCTCCTTGTATTAAGGGCCTCAAGCTGGAGCAGTGGCCTCCCACACTGAATTAGGGCTGATCTGTGTGACTAGTAGAATACTGTGCTGTGAGTCCAAGGTTAGAAGGGGTGCAGTTTGCACCTTGTTCTCTTGGACTACTCACTGTAAATGTTACAGGGGAATATGCCCTATTTAATCAAATACAACCACAGCCTCTAAAGCCCATAAAAACAAATTTCCAGGTTGGGAGAGGAATGGAGTCACTGGCCACCAATCTGTGACCTAAGTTTTCTGTTGTATTCCTCTGACTGTCGCTGCCATGTGCTCCCATACTGGGCCTGGGAGGGTCCTCCACCCATTTAATATTCGATAGAAAAGCAGGAAAACCTCTTCCTTTGGTTAGCTTGTTATGGTGAAGACCGGCTAAAATTTTTATAAAGTCTTTCCTATATAATTAGAAAGAATAAAGAACAGGGAAACTAAGTGTAACAGCATTTTACTTAACACACACAAGGCGATCCTATTTATACCTGCATGTATTAATGAATCATTTGCATGATTAGAAAATAAATTGTGTGATATAAAAAAATAGAGGCAAAAGTAACATAGAGATATACTCCATAATCATTAGCTTGCTTTGGGGACTAACAAACACAGCAGGTGCCTCCTACTGACCCCAATCTGTTCAGAATGCATTGCTACAAACTTTCTGGCTTGCTTACTTGGCCTGCCTCCACAGGGGCTGTGTCTGAGATCCAATAGGAAAGAGCTGTCTTACACACATCAAGGTGGAGACCTCTATGGCCAACCCCAAGGGAGCAGTTTACTCTATTTACTATTATATCAGTAATGAAACACTAATTCTAGGACGTGTACCACCCCTAAACAGAGGTATTTTAAAGCAACACCCTTTTCTCTACAATTCACTAGCTGCAAGTTGAGGAAGACCTATTCCATATTCTTGGACAGTGGACTCCTCAGGCATGTTCTTAACATTGTGAAAGACAGGCGCGCTGGGGAGGCAGGCATTAACATGCAGTATTTCTGGAGACCAGGCTCTGAACGATCACACTGTCACTTCTGCCCACGTTCCTTTGGCTGAAAACAGATGGAAGGATCCAAACAAAACATCAATAGGGTGGAGAAACACTATTTCTAACGAGAGAAACTACAAATCCACATTTCAAAGTGCATGCATGCATGGAACAGTGAAAAACTGGGAACAATAATGTTATTTACCACTGGTATTCCCCTGGGATTTTCCAGTTGGCACTGAGAGAGATACATTTCTTCTCAACTCAGCTAGCAGGAATATGACCCAGCAGGTAAGACCAGTCTGCAACTGCGGGCATCAAGCGTTGTCCTTGCATGCTCCTTAATATGCAGTGTTACATTATGGAGAAGCAGTATTATTAATTAATTAGATTATTAATTACAAATCAAAGTGGGCAATGGTTCTCCTAAGTGATAGGTTATTTTGCAAGAAATCGGGGTAAAAATAGTGCCCTAGAAAGTGTCAGTTTCCTGCTTATTGTGTATTATTTTTATTTTTTTTTGAGACAGGGTCTTGCTACTATGTATCCGAGGCTGGCCTCAAACTCTGTGATCCTCTTGCTTCAGCTTCCCAAATCCTGGAATTACAGGCATGCAACACCATATCCAGCTGCTTATTGTGTATTAAAGGATTAAATGTTATCAAGGCTTTATACATTCTTCAGTTCAAACTGGCGCCAATAGTTAACATGTTTTATTTATGTATTTAATTTATTTTTTTGAGACAGGGTCTCGCTGTGTAGTTCCTACTGACCTTGAACCCACTATGTAGCCTGGGCTGGCCTTGAACTCACGACAGTTCTCCTGCCTCAGCCTCCCGAGTGCTGGGATTACAGGCATGCACGACCACACCAGCTGTTAACATGTTTTAGAGCCGAGGAATTCACAAAACTTTGTCAGAGTTGAGATCTCTCATTAACCATCATGCTTTTCTGCATTTAAGAAAAAAAATTTTTTAAATAAGAATAGGAGCCTCCCAGAGTTACTTCTTAAAATTGCAAAGAAAGAATTACCCAAAGTACTATACATAGCTTTAAAAAGGAGATTTTTAAATTCTTAGATTTTGCAGGGTCTCAAGACAGGGGAGCCTCCTGTAGTTTTTCTATATTTGAGCCCTGCTTTAGGGTTATCTCCAGAGCTCCCACTTCCTCTCAAGAACAGCTCGGAGTTTCTTTATCCTTCAAAAGTCGTAGAGCAGCAAAGACTCACGCTGGAGCCCAGAAATGACCCGGTGTGCACTGCGCCCGGTGAGGGTCCCTGGCGACGTCGCCGCGGAGTCCAGGGCAGCGGAGCGGCTCCGCGCGCTCCGGACCAGCGGGCTCTTTGTTACAGAAGCAAACATCGAAGACGCGGTGGCGGCAGGGACAGGGGCATCTGTATGCAGAACCAAGCACGAAGGACATCCAGGACACCCAGGGCACCGTGTTCTCGGCTTTTGCGCACTTGAAGGCACGTCACGGTGCCTGGCTCCGAGGTCCCCCTTTGTGTGAAAGTGTGGGAGCCAGAAGCGGCGGCTGCTGCTTGGTTTTCCTGTTCCAGTTTCGCAGGCGCTTTCACCCAAACCCTCCTTCTCGCACCAACAAAGCTGGGACCAGAGCTGCTCCTCCGGCGCCAGCGACAAAGGCTCCGGGGCAGCTGCGCGGGGCCCGGTCGCCGCCCGCCAGGGGCTGCGGGCAGGAGCCCCGGGGAGGACGCGGGGTCCCCATGCTGCGCCCCAGGCGGTAGAACACGGGGCTCGAGACCGGGCCACGGCCAGGGCTCGCCAGGTCCACTAGCCAGGGCGCCCCTGTTTAAGCGGGGCGGGGGTCCTCCTGCCCAGGGATGCGATAAAAACAAGGTGACAGATAAGCGGCCCGCCAAGCCTCTCCCCACACCCCCTGAAGAAGGTCTTTGTTCTGCTGGTGCTGATAATTTCTAAAAAGTTGCAATCGCGGGGCCTCGCGCGCTCCCAGGCCCACTCCGCGCCAACTTTCCTGCCCGAGCCCCGCAGGCTGACCTCGGCGCGGCCCGGCGAGCTCGGAGAGGCGGTCACTTCGCGTCCCGGAAGGCGCCGCCGCGCAGCCCGGCTCCGGACCGCTGCGCGCCCGCGGGACCTTCACTTCCTCGCCTTTATCTCTTGAATACGTCGGCTCGCACCCTGCAGCCTCCGGCCCGCCCGCGGTCTCATTGCCCGTCACCGCGAAACACGACCCGGGCGGGCCGTTGGGCGGGCGGAATTTCTGGGAACGGGGCGGGGCCCGCGGGCCGGGCGGGGCGGGGCCAGCGCGTC